GGAACATGCAGATACATATTGAAATAAATTAAATTCTAGCAGTTATCAGAGCATGCTAATATTAAACTGTACCAAATAGGAATCATTTGAATTAGCATATGATTAGCAAACAAACTATTTTATTTATGTAATGCAAGAAGCTGGTGAAAAAAATTGTTTAAGGGAGATATTAAATACTGAAGACATGATTAAGGTAACTGTGAAGTGAACTAATCTTAATAATTTTTTTTTTTTTTTTTAGAAAGATAAAGAAATTCTGCACATTGAATACAATATGGGGACTCCCACACTCAAGGTCTCAAGTGGTGTCTCCCAGGGCTCAGTGTTGGGACCAGTTCTGTTTAATATCTTTATCAACAATCTGGACAAGGGAACTGAATGCACCCTCAGTCAGTTTGCAGATGACACCAAATTGGGTGGACTGTTGATCTGCTGGAGGGTAGGAAGACTTTGCAGAAGGATATGGACAGACTGGATCAATAGGCCGAGGCCAGTCGTATGAGATTCAACAAGGCCAAGTGCCAGGCCCAGCACTTGAGTCACAACAACCCCAGGTGATGCTCCAGGCCTGGGGAAGAATGGATGGAAAGGTGGCCAAAGGAAAAGGCCCTGGGAGTGCTGGTCAGCAATGGCTGAACATGAGCCAGCTTGTGCCCAGGTGGCCAAGAAGGCCAATGGTATCCTGGCCTGTATCAGAAATAGTGTGGCCAGCAGGACCAGGGTAGAGACTGTCCCTCTGTATTTGGCACTGGTGAGGCTGCACCTTGAATCCTGTGTTCAGTTTTTGGTCCCTCACTACAAGAAGGACATTGAGGTGCTGGAGCGAGTCCAGAGAAGAGCAATGGAATTGGTGAAGGGTCTGGAACAGGAGTCTGATGAGGAGCTAAAAAATTGGCATTGTTTAGCCTGGAGAAAAGGAGGCTCAGGGGAGACCTTATCGCTCTCTATAACTACCTGAAAGGAGGGTGTAGAGAGGCTGGGGTCAGTCTCTTCTCCCAAGTAATAACTGACAGGATGAGAGGAAGTGATCTCACTTTGCTTTGAAGGTTTAGGTTGGATATTAGAAAAAAATTCTTCACCTAAAGGGTTGTCAACCGTTGGAAAAGGCTGCCCAGGGAATTGATTGAGTCACAATTCCTGGAGGTATTTAAAAGATGTGTTTATTTGGCACTTAGGGAAACAGTTCAGTGGTGGGCTTGGGGTTTAAGGTTGGACTTGATGATCTGAGAGTTATTTTCCAATCTCAATGATCCTGTGATGCTAGATGGGTTGCTAAATCTCTCCATTCTTTTCCCACCAGGTGTAGAAAGAGATGGGATTAGCCTTCAGTGTCCAATACTAAAAATATTTTTTTTCATGGTATAAGGACAATATTTAATTATCCCCATCAAACAGAAATCCAACTGGATTTCAACTACGTCAGCACAAATGTCTGTCCAGGTGTTAGGATGATGAAAAGATGTGCTGACTGGGGTTTGCTTTCTGCAGCTTGATGCTAGACAGTGAGAAGAAAGCCCTCACTCTCAGTCAAATCACCCCAGATCCAGGGGATCTCATGTGGAACTTACAACCATGCTCAAAGTTGCAAATGATGCTCAGAGTGTGCAGGTGAGATGCAGAAAGCTTGGTCCCTCTGAAGACCCTAAAATAAGGATAATAATCTCTGACAGGTCCTGTGACTCTCACAGAGTGGACACGTGTTGGTAACGTACTACACAGCCAGAGAAAAATTTGTCAGACTTCATCTTATACCAGTTTACGATACTTTTTGAACATAGACCTCCTGAATTAGGTTGAGATTCATCACAACAGCAATATAAAGGCTGGATCTATTTACAAATAAGTTCGGAATTATTTTACAGTAATGAAAGGAGTAGAAAAAAGGTAAGAATATGAAATGAGGTTATTTGTTCCAAGAAAGCAGAAGTAAGGTAGGATAAAACCACTGTTCAGTTTTGCACGCAGGTCTTTTTTTCACTCACAGACAAGAAAATTCTTTAGAGTAGGAAATTATAATGAGAAAATGAAAAACACACTAGGTCACCTTTAAAAGTCAGTTTTAACTGCAGAAATATCATCTTTAATTGTAGAAATAGCCTGAATTCTGAGGAAAAGTAGTATGATCTATCTTTTGCTAAAAGTAATTAGTTAAATTTAAAAAGAGAGGTACATGTGAATTAGTCATTAGACTTTCTAAGAACATTCCTTTTCTGTGCTGGAACGGAACAAAGCATTTTTATGGAAGTGAAATAACACCAAGTTCCAAGTTGTCACATGAAGAGAACTGTAATAGTTAGGACGACTCCTGGTCCAACAAGACAAACTGGCCAGGGTCATTACAGGTGTGGCGGACAAACTACTAGTCAGGAGAAACTGTTCATGCCTTGCCAGTGATTTACACAACTATTTGTTAGCAGACTCTGAATTCTAAATGAGGGTTTTTTCTTCATGCTGGAAAGGTTATAAACAACTCCAGTACAAGCACAACCCTGACAAATTTATTCTGAAAGCCAGTGGACATAACAGGGTAACAGTGGCATTAGGTCATATCCCTAAGCATGTCAGAGTTGGCTTTCTGCAGCCTCTTCCATTATCCATCTGTCAAAAAAGTAGTAGCCCTCAGTTGCTTGAGAGACAGATACAAAGCTGTTAACTTCACCAGTGATAGCAATAAGAACTTTTCTGGACCCTTCCTGAGCACTTCACTACCTTACTTTGCCTCAACACTGTGTTAGGTAAGAGCCAAGACACAGAGGAACATGCTTTGTTATAAGATAGTTAGAGAAGCCTTAAAAACTGGACTTGAGCAAGTCTTTTCAGAGACTGACCATTTAATCAGATCTTGTTCCATCATAGCTATGTGAAAAAGTCAGAGAAGAAGGACTAACGATGCCTCCACCATCATCATTCTGAGACCTCATTCACAGAATGGTCCACTGGCAGGAACAGAGGCCAGGAGGCTCTGACCTCCAACCTCTGTGCCATCCAGGCAGGCTGTGTGCCAGGAGCAGAGGTCAATCAAAAACAACTTCTTGCTAATGAGGAGAGTCTTGCCAGGAATTTTAGCAGCAACTTTCAGATGAAAAATCTGAATATCAATGATTTCCAGGGCTAGTGAGTCATTCCAAGCAATGAGCATCCTGGTGTGAAGAGCTGTGGCACGAACCCCAGGAAACCAGTGACTGCCTGGGGGACTGAGTGCTTACTTTGTATTTGTGCAGCAGCTGAAATCACTGTGCTAGGGATAACCATGCCACGTCAGTTGACTTGTTAAAGCAATTTTCTGCTAACACTCATTAGTGGTCGTGGGAACCCACTGCCACCATGTGACACCTTGGCCGGGAAGGCACACGGGTGACTCCCCTAGATAGGGGAAGGGCAGATGGAGTTCCCTGCTGCTCTGCCACTGCATATGAGGGAGGAAGGGAAGGTCTCCCTGGACTCTCTCCTCTTCTCCTCCCAGCCCTCTTTACCCAACTAAATGTGAATTTCCAGTGCCAGTTGGGTCCACACCCTCTGTCCATTTGGTTCTGCCAAGGTGCCCCCCTATCCTGACCAGACCCTGTAGATCCTGACATGGTCTCCAGAGAGACAGACATATTACCCTGTGTTCTCCTGGCAGAGGGTAATGAATAGTGTTTCCCTACAGGCAGCACAGCCTGAATTTCAGCCTTTTGCTAGTCTTTAGCACACTGCCCAAGAGAAGCAGAAACCACTTACGTGTTACTTATTCTTCCTAAATTCATTCTTGGAAAACAGCTCAGGAATTATGGTTGAAATATTTCAAAAAACCCTTCCTTAGGCAGAGGCAAGCATGGCAAATTTCAGCTTGAGCGGTTCTGTGTAGCGATAAAGCAATGAAAATAGAGCTAATGGCAAATATTAAGCAGCCTTAGCCACAGGCAGTTTTACTAGCTCCAGCAGGAACGTGTGGTGTTTTTCCCATAAATACTGCATTGAAGTGCTGTATCTCTCACTCTGCTTCTGTTCAGCTAGCAGCAAAACCCAAAGCAAACTTTTCTGTATGCACAACCCTAACTGAAAACAAAGTAAATTAAATTAAGTCTAAGCAGTGCCAATAATAGCTACTAGTTATTTTGCAGTAAAAATACCAGTATTTTATCAGTTTTTAATAACTGTTTTTTCCTGCTGTTTACAGTGACAAGAACCTTCTTCCAGTAACAACACAGTTTTTCTCATAAAATTATTCAGTAAGCCTCAAGTGAGCAGTATATAAAAAAACATCCTAAACAAAATTACTGAAATGTAATTGTGCTGCAAAAAACAGAGATAAAGGAGGGTCTATTTCGATTTCCATTTAGTGACTTTGCCTTAATCTCACTCCTGGTGAAACCCTTTTGCAAAAGAATCCATTCAATAATTCTCACTGTCACTGACAAATGGAAAGGAAGATACAGTGCTGGGTAGCATGAAACAACTTCAAGGTTATATATCATATGCATTTATCCTCTCTTATGTTTATAATTTATAAAAATAATCTGTAATTTTTTTTTATTCTCTTCATTACCTGAAATAAGTACTTCAGCCATTTCTACAACTGCTCTGCATCTCTGGATGCAAGTATCCTGAATTTGCAAATAGACTTCTCAGGTAAATTATGATCATATAATAAGTTTATTTAGAATAGATCTATTCAAAGATTTTTGTAAAAGCTAAAGTTTTACATAAAAATGTAAGTTTGGTTCTTCAGCTGGTCTATACTGTCACTCTGGTGTCTGCATTAGTGGTACTTTTCATGTGCCCTTACGTTTTATGAGGAGCCCCTGGTGGTCTAGTGGTAAAGGCGCCGCGCTATCACCGCCGAGACCCGGGTTCGATTCCCAGTCAGGGCCACTCCCGGGCAGGTGGGGCTCGTTAGCCCTTAAAGGCAACCCACCTACGTCCTGAGGACCTCGCTGCCACTGTCCAAGCTCGCTTGGCCCGGCAGATGAACCTTAGGATTAAAGGGTGGGCTCAGTTCCGCGCACACTGTGTCTCACCTAAAAAATCCAATGCGCAGGCTGGAAGGTGGAAAGACCTTCCCCGGATCTTCGCTCGCGAAGACTGGCCATTATTATATTATTTACGTTTTATGAGATTTGTGAACTAAACAAGAGTCAACAGTTTCCTCATGCAGCCATCCAGGAACAAAACTCCTAGGTTTCATTTACAGAGATAGTGAAGAAAGCACTGCTGTTGTTGAGCCTTCACTGGTGCTCTCCCTTTGCAGAAGACCAGAAGGGCTCATAGCACAGGAGAGACTTTCAGTATGTAGCCTGGATGGGGAAGAGGTCTTTTTTCTTCAGTTTGTAAAATATCAGAATCACCACCCTAGGGGTTATTCAAATCTGACTTTAACACTGCAGTGAAGAGTTTCTTCACTTGCTCCTGAAGAGAAATACTGAAAAAAAAAAAAAAAAAAAATGAGAGTGTTGAAAGGCTTTGTGTTGACAGAGTATTTCCCCAGTTGAAAAAAAATAAACAAATTCATTCCAGTTTATTGAATATTCCTCAAAGACTAGCTAAATGTCAGTTCAGCCCCAAACTGTCTTTCTCCTTCATGGTACCCTGCCCAATTCAAAAATCAAATGATCTTCTTGTCTCTCCTCATGAGTCCACGTCACACAAGGGAATGGAGATTTATGCAACTCCCATGTGGTAACCTGGTGATGGAAAAACAGCTTTTTAGGCCAAAATCATTCTTACAGAACTTGCCCATCCAATTCTAATTAGAAGTTGGAAAATTTTAATGAAGGAAAACCATGAATATTTTAGAGACAATAGCCTGCTGGTAAAATATTTCAATTCAGCTCTTCTGCTTCTCTTTTTTTCCCACCCTCCAGCCTTTGCCAGTGCCTCTCATGGGGAACTCAGAGGTGTACAAATTGTAGTCTCTCCTCCAAGCACTGGCTCTGATTTCCTCTCAGCCAGCTGTGGTCAAAAGGCTTGCTGGGGAGAGAAAAGCTCCTTCTTGCAAAACAGTATTTGTGAGGTCTTGCCAGAACAACTAGGTTTGTCCCTCACCACTCCATAGTCACTGGCATGGATTTCTAATGAATCATTGCTGTAGAAATAATCCAAAATGGTAGCTTACATCTAGAGTTATAGAAGGTATTTTCACTTCAGGGACGATGCCCCTAATTTTATCAATCATTTCCATGGTAAATACTATGCAGTATGGCTAGATTTTGCAGTCATGATCAAATGTTGTTCTCACAGGTAATATTAATATGTAAGGCTGAAACTAAGTACACAGGTCATCTGTGTACTGTTGGACATCTCAAAGCACAGGTAGCAGGTAGGCAGATTTATTGACTTGGCTCAATATGGTAGGTACCTAACTTCCATAGACATTACAAAGTTAGGTACGTAGGATGGGTAGGATGGTAGCACACTCATCAATGTGTACCTACATTGGCAGGTCTCTAGACAGCTTTAAAACCTACTCCATTAAACCATAAATCTCCTTGCAACCACTTGAACTTTGTGATTGGACTACCTACCTCCTGAAGGATATGTAGGCATCTATCTGCTCCCTCACCCCTTGAAAGCCATGTGGTATTTATATACATCTCATTCTGTAGCCTTGAGAGTCTGGCCTCTTGCACATGAATCAGATCAGAAATTGGAGCCTCTTTATTAAACTATTTCTGGATTTTTTCAGTTAAAGAAAGCAGGCTACAAAAACTACTCTGCTATTCAGACATATCAGCAGAAAATAAGCTCGAGTGCACAGAAATATATAGTTATAATTAAAAGTTAAAGAAGAAAGAAGATTGTATTAAACACCAAAGTGATCATAAGCAGTAAGTTAGTTGCTTTAGGTTCTTTTAACCACATTTTCCCATTCTAGTTTCCATTTGTTAATTTAAAACGAGTGTGTAATTTCTGCACTTGTGGGTTTTTTTTAGCTGTAATAGTTGCCATGGTTATCACAAAGACAAATTTAAATTTAAGGAATGCACAAAATTGATTTTTAGTGGTTCATTCTGGAATATACTTGAAGCCTGTGGATGACAGATCTGGTTAATGAAACCTCTCTGCTCAGTCATATTTATTTCACGGGTTTGTTCACTCAGATGGTTAAAACTAATGGTTAGGGCACATTCCTGAGAGATGGAAACTTGCATCTGGCCCTTAAACTCACTACGTGTTTTACACCAAAGAATCATTGTGGGTTGCAAACAAACAAAAAAAGAGGAGTTATAATCCTGGGAACGGACCTAGGACTTTCTCCTCCTTAGTTACTACTTATACCAGGCAGTTCCTGACAAAGGGGAGAATTTATAACTTCTGCCTCCTTCAGCTGTGCTTGATTTCCATTCAGTAGCTTAAAATTTGAAAATGAAAGAGTTATACATCCAGCTGAGGGGAAATCAGGCACTTGACACAAGTTCCTAAAATATAGGCAGCCAGGATTTTTCCCCACTGGCTTCTAAAAAGTGCCCAGCTATCCTTCCACTGAAACCTGAGAAACTGAACATTTGCTTTAGGAGAACTTCGTCACAAGACACCCATAATTAAGGTGCAGCTTTACCAACACCTCATCTCAGATTTGCCCTTAGCTGGTGGTCCTGGTTGCCCCTGTGCAGACCCTGCTAGCAGTGCTTTCTTCTCCTCCTCCTCCCCTCCTGCTTCCTGCTCCCATTGCCATGAACACCTGCACTCTCAGGCAGCCTGGACAGCAGCAGGACTTCCAGAGGTCTTACGTTGCCATGGGGAAACAAGCCAACTCAAATCATCCCCACGATGGGTATTCCCTGTTAGACTCCTTGCAGCTCTCCAAACTCATCCCTGATTGCTGTCTCTGCTTTTATTTTTTGTTAACAAAAACCATTAAGCTGGGAACACTGAAATCCCCACTGAGCCTTTTCCTTTCCCAGAACTGCCATATACAGCCTGGCGCAGCTGTAATGAGAGTTTCAGAAACACAAAAATCAAGCCAATGTAGTAAATTCCCATTGGAAATGATCACTGGCATCTGCAAAGTTTAACATTATCCTCTGTCTAATATGAAATCCCTTGGCAGAAATGATGCAAACTTGTCTTCACTAAATGTATTAGCGGAAATGGGGGATAATTCTTGATAATAAATAGACTGTAAATACTCTCTAGTCTTCCTGCACCTGAAAAGAACAAAGGAAATAGAAAGGCAAAGGAAAAGGTAGAGAAAAAAAAAAAAGTGTTTTTCTGTTTTATTCAGGTTTGGGTTTTGTTTTTTTTTTCTTTTACTCTCTCAAGACAAAGTAGAGACTGTACAACTGCAAAATCATTTTCCATGCACCTTGATGGAGTGAGCTCCAACTTTTAGACCCAACTAAGGGTTCATGCAGGCAAGACCTTCAAGATGTGTGGGTTCAATGGTTGCCCTCATGGTTTTTATGTGATTGTGACCAAATCACTTAACTCTGTGCTTCAGTCTCACTTGTGCTCTGGAAGTGATAAGGAAAGCCAATTGGTTTTTGCAACTATGCTTATTTTTGCAAAAGCTGAAGACTGCTCAATACTTATTATTTTCCTGTTTATTTTGTTTTTTGAGAAGATAGAGATAAGGGAGAATTTTCCACTGGGAAAAAGTCCAACGTACAGACTCAGACCAAGATGACATTAACCAATCTGCTAGCAAAGCTCTGACTCAAATGATGGGAACAATAGGCCCTCAGGACTCCCATGGGTCCTGTTTCCCCAGGAGTGAACACCTCTGCAGGCACAGTGTGTGGGCCACAGCGGGCAGTCTGAGGAGTTGTGTATTCACAGCAGTGGCCCAAGCACAGGCAGAGGCTCCAGGGAATTGAGGCAAACAAAGGGATTCACGTGACCATTTTCACCACAGGTGTGAAGATGAAACTTTCTTAATTCACCTAATTGAAAAAGGGTCTTTAAAATTTGTCATGTTGAGTCAATTTTCGAGCCCAGCCAAAAAGCAACATGGAAATATCTAATTTCCAAGAAAAAATATTTTTTTCTTTTTCTCTCAATTTTCTCTCATATTATTTGTTTCTTCTCTCCTTGTCCTACACCTGCAAAACTAGGCTTTCTAAGGAATGTCCTAATCCTGCATGTTATATCATAGCAATGCTTTCCTCTTGGCTGGAGCTTAGAGAAGTGATGCCAAAATAAAAGAAAAGAAGAAAGAAAAATTAAATTAGCCGTGTATTGAGCTTATCACAAAAGGGAGAATGAGAGACATTAAACTTAAGAAAATCCAGGTGTATGGAACAGGCATATACTACCTTAATTGAAACCCAGAAACATTCTAATTGTTACAAAATGCTAATAAGCAAAACCACTAGTTCCTTAAGTGAACATTTTACTAAATCACATGCATTTAATTTCCTCTCATGCATTTCAATAGCATGCATTGCCTGAAAATAAAGCACTAAAAGAACTGTGAAGATTCTGTTTACCAAAAAAAGATTTGTTGAGACAATTAGAGCTTTTCAAAATGATATTTTAAAATATTACCCATCAGTTAAGTGCAGAGAAAGCACATAATTTGGCACTAATCTGTCTCTAGCTCAAAATAGAAGGCGTATTTCAGTAAAGTGTCTTGAGTAACCTTAGCAAGGGAATGTAGAGGAACTCCCTGTATGACTAAGGTAATGGAAAAACCTGACACTTTGGAAAGCCCAGGGATGCAATATCCATATATTTCTAATCAGAGAAACTTCATTAGTGCACTTTTTAAAGAACTGTAACTGATTAACTGATAGTTAACCAGTGGAATTGATTTTGTTATCAGCCCATCAGCCCACACATTGGTAGGACCATTTGACCTGAGGACAGATAAGTTGTCTGTGATTTGGAAAAGCAGAATTGTGGAACAGAAATAAGATATTTTGCCTAGAATTACTCTGGAATCTTTAGGTTATTTATCTGTGTTTGATATGACCTTCATGAAATAGAAATCTTTTTGCTTTCATTTTATTCCTCTGACTGGGCAATTGGAATATCCCCAGTATTTCTGCTAAAACATCAGAACGGCCCTTGAAGTAAACTCAATTCCAAGTCTGCCTACAAATTTTCTTAGGACAAATCATTCTCACTGAAGGACAACCTCATTTTTTACCTTTCTTTCCTACAGAAAAAGATGAGTGAGTAACCCTCCCCCATTTAGCCTTGGGAGCTATTCAGGCACTGCAGTGACAGACACCACCATTTCATTAAGGCTCAGCATTAAGTATTCAGACTTTTCAATGGTTCAGTACAGGCGTGAGTTGGCATTCACTGTTTGCTAACCAGTTTTCCATCTCCTCTGTCCACAAAACCTTAATGACAGCGCTGGCCCTGCTTTATTAAGAAAATTGAGTTATTAATGTACGGGGAAATGTATGCCCTGAGAATATTAGTGCAGACAATGTGAAAACTGACAGCTTAAAGGGACAAGCTTTTAAGTCTGTA